TTGTGAACTCCATCCCCTTGGGCAAGGTGAGTGGCTAAAGTGGAAAATTCGGGGGTGGGTGGATCAGAGTGAGCTCCTCCTGCCCTATGGGAGGCCCCGAGGCAAGCAGGCCTTCAGAATGTGGTGACTGCCACACGGAATCTTTGTGGCCAGCTTCACTCCTGAGCATGAGTGTCCCCTCCACACCCTTACAACCCAAGCAAGAAACGGCACCAGCCTAGACTTTGCTTCTCCTCCCCCACCCACCTGCAGTCAGTCACTAAGTCCGGTCAATTCCACCTCCAAGTCCCTCTCCACTTGGTCCACTTCTGTTCATCCCCCCATCTGGGTCTGAGCAGCAGTCTTTGGTGGCCTTCCTGACTCCACCAGCAGTTTCCTTATCTGACCGTGCCACACTCCTGTCTAAACATCTTTGCATGGCATTGGAGGCCCTCTACAATCTGGCCTCTGCTGATCTCATCCCCTGCCCTCCAGCCACCATGCCACTTAGAGCTCCTGCCCATTTGGTACATTTTCACACCTTCATTCTCTTGTTTATTCTGGCCCCTCTGCCTGAAGTGCTATCTACCCACCTTGTCTAACTGGTAAGCTCCTCTTCACTCTTTAAAGCCCTCATCAACTGCTACCAGCACAGTGTAGCCCTTTTGTTCACTCCAGAATGGTCTTTTGGGGGGCGGCTCTCCTTGGCTCCCACCGACCCCTCTACTTCCCTCTATCATAACACATATCAACATCAGTCTTGCCTACCAGACCGAACTCCTTGAGGGCAGGTAATTGTCTGGCTCACTCACCTGTTAGTTCTTGGATATCCCTTTATCTCCTTGAGGCTCAGCTTGGGGCCTGGTACTAAAGAGGATTATAAAGTGCCTTCTGAACAGAATGGCCATGGGGTCCTTCCCTACTTCTGCCTTTGGCCCTAATGCCCCCTAGGCTCTGACCTGCTGCACCGTGGAGGTGAAGACCCTAGATGACCGGCTGCTCAACATCCCCATCAATGACATCATCCAGTGAGTCCATCTGCTGGGGCCTCCATAGGCAGAAGCGCTGGCTTGGGCCTTAGAGGGTAGCATCAGACAGGTTGGCCTAGTGCAGTTGTTGAGGTTGCACTAAGCACAAGGGGGCGAGAGAGGACTAAAATCCCATCTCCACTCTGCCTCTCCGGGCCAACGGGGTGCCTTTTTCTAACTTTCACAAAGCCCCTTTAGAGGCTAGCAGTGGTCGGCAAACTGCAGCTCGCGAGCCACATGCGGCTCTTTGGCCCCTTGAGTGTGGCTCTTCCACAAAATACCCACTTCTGCACATGGGCCACGAAGTTTCAATCACACTGTACATGCGCACCCGCACGTGGTATTTTGTGGAAGAGCCACACTCAAGGGGCCAAAGAGCCGCATGTGGCTCACGAGCCTCAGTTTGCCGACCACTGGGCTAGGGGCCCACAGTGTTAGGCAATCCTTGTTGCCTTCATCTTCCATCCTCCAAAAGCTCTCATTAGAGTTCTGAGTTAACCCCAATGAGCCCTTTCCAAGGAGGGCCCTCTGCATGGGAAGCTTTGCTCAGCAGCCCACACTCCCCACCAAGCCAGGGTCTACTCACTCGTTTCCCATCTCTAAAATGAGGTTCCCGAAATACTCCCAGAAACTCAGTGTAAATGGGTTCTCAGGGAGCAAACTATCTGGAACAAGCCAGCCTCCTCTCCTCCCACCCAGCTCTGGCTGAAGAAAGCTACTGCCCATGGTGGAAGCTGTAGCGACTGCCCCATGCCTGAGGTGATGTGAGCAGGGCGGGCATGGGCTCTGTCCAGATGCTGCTCTGGGGTGCCCTCTCAACTCTCTTCTTTCATCTTCTCTCAGTCCTAAGTACTGCAAGAAGGTGCCAGGTGAGGGGATGCCATTGCCTGAGGACCCCACCAAGAAGGGGGACCTCTTCATCTTCTTCGAAATCCAGTTCCCCACCCGCCTCACACCCCAGAAGAAGCAGATGCTGCGCCAGGCATTGCTGACGTAACTGGTGGGCTGGGGGCTGCAGCAGCGGTCAGAGGAGGCTTGTGGGGGGCCTTACCCCATTTCTACTTCCCACAGCCTTGGGTGCTCAGGGAAGCCAGCCCACTGCACAGGTGTGGCATGAGGATGGGCTGACAAATAAAGACTTATTTGCTATCTTCTAGCTACTACACCCAGATGTGTTGGAGGGAGAGAAGCTTCATGTAGCCCCTCTTGGGTCCCTGCCCTGACTTTGTGGATGTGGCTGGGTCCCTGAGGGTTCAGAGCCTTTATGCTCCCACCTTGAGAGCCTGGGGCAGTGCTGTGCAGCCTGAGGGTCCCCAGCTCTGCTGATTTCTCAGGACACGTGGTCTTTAAAAAGGGCTCAAGTCTCTAGTGTGATAAGGTCACATTGTACTCAGGAAAACTGAAGTACAAGAAAACACTTGTCTCAGGGCTCAGTGGCACAGCTGTCATCAGAACCTCAAAGGCCACTTCCCAGACTCACCTGCCGAGAGGCAGCACAAAGGACACAAGCGCTGGAAATGGCTGTTTTCTATCCTGCCAGCCTCAACTCCCTGGCCTGAGCAGAGAGTGGGTCCTGGGCTGCCTCTAGGCATGGTAGCCTTGGAAGACCTGGGTTTTGTTCCCAGCCCAGCCACTGACCCTTCCTCAGCTATTTGTGAGGACCAGGTCATTGTGTGAAAGTGCTTGGTGAACTTGATTTCAGGCCCAGAACTGCTGTTCAAGTGGCCTGCAGGAGTGCCAGCCTCCAGATCCAGCTGAGCCTGTGCAGACCACACTTGCCTCCCCATCTGCCTTCATCCGTCAGACTGTGAGGTGGGCACCTCTTCTGTGCCTAGACTCTCCCGAGTCTAGGCTTGGGCTGGGATAGGTCCAGTTTTATGACAGAGTAAGTGGCCACTTTTGTGAAAACTTCGGAGGTGGCAGAAAGGGCTCCCACATTGTTTGGATTCCACCATTCAAAGCATCATTATTAGCTTAAGGCTCTTTCTCCAATGGGGACTCAGCAGCACTAGTCAGCCATTTGTAACCTATCAGGGAACGGCAATAGCAGCCCAAGGTGTAGGATCTGGACCTGGGGTCTAGGGAGTATCTCTGCATAATCATGGCTTTGGAGTCAGATATACCTCAGATGTGCTGCTTGCCAGCTGTGCCCTTAGGTAAACCCCTTCCCTTCTCTGAAATCTGATTCATACAAAGATTACAACCCCTATCTTGCAGTCCTTGTGCAAACCAGATGAGTGAAGCCAAATATGACCTGAGGCACAACCTGGGTGATTGAGTGGTGGTAGCAGCCCTGTTCTGTGAACAGTGACTAGGTAAGGACATGTGGGCCTGCACTGGGATATTCCAGCACTCCAGGTCTCCGCCAGGCCAGCTGGAAAGCCTGCTACCTCTTCCCCAGGGTGAGACTCTGAAGGAAGATCTTGTTTTTCAGCCAAGAAAGGATGTAAGAGATAGTTCCATGCCCTGCTCAAAACCTGGGTCCACTCTATCAATCTCCAATTGATAACTTGTGAATAGGCAAAGCAGAGCCTATCACACACCCATTTTATAGGCATTAAGGACTGAGGACCAGTTAGAGGCCTAGTGGTGGTACGCTGTCCAATGGCTCCTACCACCTTTCCCAGATCATCGCCCCTGGATCATACCCAGAACCATGGTGAAACCTGGTGCACACCTGTCCATGTCTGGGACACAAGCCTGCTGAAATGAACCAGCTGACATGCCTAGGGTGACAAACTGCCCCTCAGGTCCTCTGGTGTAAAACAGTGACAAGGTGCCAAAGACATTGCCAGGGGCCTCCATTTACACTGACTGCCTGTAGCCCAGTAGAGAACAGCTTGGCTGAGTTGCTGGGCTTCACTCTGAATCAACTCATGGCACCCCGCTGTCCCTCTTGGGGACTGAGGCCTTGAGTTAATTTGTCAGAAGCTGGGCCCTTCTTCCTTTTCCAGGAACCTGTTTAATATCCTGAACCACTTGCCCAGGTGCTGAAAGCCTAGCCTCCAGCTATGACCAATGGAAGAGCAGCAGCATCAGCTGTTTTAGGCTGTGAGGAGAGGGTCATGCTCTCTCCACCTGGCTCCACAGCTACCCAACAGGATTCCTGCAGGACTCCAAGATCAGCTGCTGAGGTCCTGTGTCCTTGCCGGCATGACCTCTCTCAGCCCTCAGATTCTTCAGACATCTATGATGGGTCTGGTGGGCTTAATTCTAAGGGCTCAGCCCTGCATGAGGTATTTGAGATTTTAGGACCTCACAGTCCCTGACCCCTTGAAACAAAAGTAGCCCTGCCCACCTGCTTTCCTGCCTGAGGACAGGTGGTAGGAAGAGGGACAGAAATGTGTCAACCCCAATGCAGCTAAGCCAGGGCTTGCCACTGCTTCCTTGGGATCTCTAGCCCAGGGAGAGGGTGAGACTCCAAGAGTAAATTACCCTCAGGCTGAGGCCAGATGTCTGCCCGGCGGCCTGCTCTCCCAGAGCAGCAACACTGTCTCCCAAGGATGGCAATCTGGAGGATGGGAGGCAGCCCAACTCGCCCTCACTAGGTCTGGGACTTTGGGGAGGTCGGTTTCCCATTTATAAAATGGAATAAAATAAGCCCACAGCATCTGATTCCCAAGTTCCTCTAAATCTCCCAAGAAGCACAGGAGATGCAGAGCAGACAGGAACACTCCTTTTGCAGATCAGCAGGCCTGGGGCCAGCTGAGGGGCGAGAAAGGCAAATGTTGGAGCACCAAGCACTGGGGGAAAGCTCAAGGAGCCTGGTGACAGCAAAGCCACCGCTCCTTCTCGTGCCACCTCAGCACCAGGCCTGTTCTGGAAAGAGAAACAGACTAGATGATGTCCATGGGCCCCAGATTGGACACTGGAGGTGGAAAGTGGGTTACACCACCCCTTTCAAGTTAGGGTGGCTTCCCACTGCCACCAGGTGCCAAAAGGGCCCACCAAACTAAGATCTCTGCTAACAGCTATAAGAGAGGGAGGAGACAACAAGATTGAGCTTGTTTTATGGATGACGTGCTGGCTTAGCTTGGGAACAAGATAAAGAGATGGGCTGAACTTCTCAAGGGTCTGAGGGGCTTGGGATCCTGGTAGGTGACAACTGGGGTCAATTCCATCAGGACTGAGAGGCAATGGGGAGATGAGGTAGGGAGGAGAGGTGAAAATGTGGGGAGAGGGAAGGGAGATGGTAGAAATGGGAGAAGGAAGGGGTGGGGAGTGAGGGAAGGGAAGGAGGGGAAGAGGAAAAGGAGGGCCTGGCTGGAGCTGAAGCCAAGCCAGAGGTGGTCAGGTTGGCAGCAGGAGAGGCTCAAAAGGGAGCCTCCCGGGAAGTGCAGGCAGCCATGAGGGCCCGTTTCAGCTGCTCATAGGTGACAAACATCACCACGTTCCAGGAACCCAAACGGAGGAAGGAAGGCATGAACCTAGAAGGGAGAAAACACCGGTCACAGGGGGCACCTCCACCTCCTGCTCACCCCACTGGGCCCTGGCATCCAATACAACCCAGTGCTTTGTCGAGGTCCCAGGGCCTCACAGCTGTGTAGCTGTGAGCAAGAATGCCCTGTGAGTCTCCATTTAAATACCCACAAAGCAGGCAGCAACTCTGAGAGAAAGGAGTTATGAGCATGAGAGAATGCCGATGAAATACCAGGACCGTGATCAGAAAGTTTGATACTGGTTGCTACTCAGTTCCAGGTGTAATAGGAGGCCTGGAATCGGGTGGGTGGATCACAGACTCACCCTTTGTAGAAGGCTCGGGGACCCTCCTTCTGGAGCATGGTGAGGGCACATTGGCCAGCGCTGCTGTACTGGCCAAGGGCAGAGTTCATATATCTCGTCTTGACTACGTCGACAGGGGAGGCAACGATGGTGGTGCAGAAACCTGCCCCGAAGGCAGAAGTGAAGTGGCAAGGAAGGTCATCTGTTGAGGAGGAGGAGCAGGCAAGGGGGTCAGAACTCCTCGCCCCATCATTCCAGAAGGAAAGAGGTTATTTAAGTTGCTGGGGTCTTGTGATTTTAGACAGAGACTTCAACTGGGACCTCTCCTGAGAACCTAAAAGTCATTTTGCCCGCCTGGCCTCAAAGCCTCAGTGTGCAAAGTGGGAACTTCATTCCACTTGGCTTCAATATGCTAGTGAGAGGACCTCATTCTACAAGCCAAGAAGAAACAGGATGAAAAGATGTGGCTTTCGGGCAATCAGATTGCCACATCTGATCCTGGGCTGGGGGAAGGGTGAGACCCAGAACCATTTACCCTAACTCACCTGTCATGAGGTTGGCTTTCAGGAGGGCATCCTTGATTAGGTCGTAGGTCACCAATTCAGCACAGTTCACAATAGCATTACGGGCAATATTGGGAGAGGTCCCTACGGAAGGAAGGAGTGTCTATGTGAGACCAGGGAATAGGGGAGACGAAGAAGAAAAAAAAAGGGAAAGAAGAAACATCTGGTACACACCTTTCCAGAGTCCCCGGAACCCTTCCTCTCGGGCAATGGTCTTGTAGGCATCAACAGTACTTTGATATCTCTGGCCACCTCCAGCCCGGGCCTGAGCCTGGAACCGGACCTTTACCACATCCGTGGGCTGGGCCACAGCCACAGCCAGGGCACCCGTGGTGCTGCCTGCCAGGAGGCGGCTCCCGATGCCGGCATCTGTGGGCGAACCAGGAAGGTCAGTGTCCAGCTGGGCTTGCACTCATTTTCTGCCTCTCCTCACCAAATACACCATCTCTTGCCTTTTGGGAATAGGATCCAGACCAGCTCTTCCTCTAAGAACTCCTCACATCAAACAAATGAGAAAACCTAGGTTCAGAGAGAAGTGGCTTTTCCAAGGATTGGGACACATAAGACTTGATCTACTTCTCCCTGCCATGTGATCTTAGGAAAAGTCAGCCTTTAATCTGGGCCCTCAGTTTCCACATGTGTAAAACAGAGGGTGGACATGGCACGCTGAGAAGAAACAAGAGTGCTGGCCTTTGGAAGATAAAGTCCTGGGTGTTTTTTTTTGCTTCCCTCTGTGTGCCCTTGGCTAAGTCCTTCCTCCCATGCTACCCCCAGCAAGGCTCAGTCTCTTCATCTGTAACACAGAATACCATCTACTCTCAAAGTGGTTGTGAGGATTATCTTGGGAGGACACCCTACTCAGAGCTGGCACAGCCCGAAAGCTCAGAAATCATTAGTATCAGGGCCCTAAAGGAGCTAGGTAGCGAAATGAACTAGATCAATCACGACTGAGAAGAAAAGGCTAAGGAGTCTACAAGCCCAGCTCCACACTTACGCTCAGAGCCCTTGGTGTAGAACTGCTTGACAGAGTCGTAGAGGCCAATGCGGACAGATGCAAAGCTCATCTGGCGCTGCAGGCCGGCGACTAGCCCGTTATAGAGGCTGCGGGGACCCTCGGTGCGCGCCATGGTCAGGATGGTGCCCAGCACGCCGCGGTACTGGACACTGGCTGCAGCTCGCACTGCCCCCTGCTTTTCTCCTTGGATCTGCAAGGCCAAGACAGGTATAGGAATAGACAGGTTGGCATACCCATGCTCCCAAGTTTACTGACCCAAACCCACTGGCCCTTGAGGAGTCTGTGTCTTGGGGAGGGAACAGACTAGATGGGATGAAGGATTCCCAGGCTTCATCCCCTCACCTGCAGCCGGACTTTAGCGGTATCCAGGGGAAAGGTGATGAGATCTGCAATGCAGGCAGCTGTGCCAGCCCCCAGGAACTTCACAGTGGCAGTAGGGGGCACATCTGTGGCCTTAAACCCAACCATGATGCCAATTTTCTGCTGTCTTCCAGGAGATGAAGAAAAGTTGGAGAAGGGGGCACCTTCAACCAGCAACAAGACGAGATAGAGGAACTCTGCCGGAATCTAACCAAGGAGAGAGAGGCCCCATCAATTTCCCTGCTCACCACCCCGACCCCTACCTTCTCTGACAGCAACACCTCCCTAAACAGGGACCAGAGTAACCCTATGAGGGAAAACCGCAGTGAGCTCTGGAGGTACTCAAATAGGGGCTGAAGAAGCAATTCCTGCCCAAGGAGTCCAAATTTTGTGAAGAGCTTTCACTACCGGGAAAGTCTGGATCACAGATATTCTAGTGTTGCCTCAAATAGGCCCTGGCCCAGACCTCCGTCTGCTGGGCCCAGAGATTTCACTCATGAAGCCCACATTCCTGCGTCTGCGGATCTGTCTGAAGGGCACAAGTGAGGAGAAGGTTTCAGCCAGACCAAGACCTGACAGGCATAAACCTGAAGGCTTCCACCTGGGTTTCTTAAACAAGAGAGATTCCTAAGGGTCTGGAATTGTCTAAGTCTGTAAGAAAAGGACGGGTATTCAGTTCCTTCCCATCCCATCAGTCTCATTCTTTCCCCAGCCCTCGCACAGCGTGGGCTCTCCCGAATCATTCTTTCAACAAGAACGAGGTAGGTCCTGGTTCACTGAGATGCAGGAGACAATATCTACCCTAAAGGGGGCTGACTGTCTGGCACAGGGAGTAGGCAGGTGATTCAAGCTGCACTGGGGCTTGCAGGACATACTGTCAAACTGCAGAAGAGGTAACAGCTAACTATTAGGAGAGAGGTAAGGAAGAGTGGGTCACCAGAAGACTTAGGCAAGGTAACACTTAGCTGGACCTTGAAGGATCCTAGGCAATTCTTGGGGCTGAGAGTAGTGCCTAGGTGCTCAACTTTCTTCCCCTGCCCTCTGTGTTATTCAGGGAAAACCTCCTCCACCATTGGGGGACCCACAACATCACCACAAAGAGATGGGGGTGGGGAGATGCAAGTCAGAGATAGAGTGACACAGGAAACCAAAAGCACATTTTGTTCTTAGAGTTGGAACAACACCCTTCCCTCCCCCGCTGCAGAAGGGAGGAAGTGAGCCCAGCACCACAGTGGGGGAGGACAATCCTGAGCTCACTTCTCTGATTTCATAGGAGCAGCTGCTCTGAACCCAGTCTGATTGGCTGCCTCTGTTGCTGGGGCCAGGAGGCAAGAGCTGACCAGCAAAGGGAGGATCTGTGGGAGTCAGCTGTGAACACACAGACCCATGGAAACAAACAGCTCACAAGCTGCTTCCTCCTGGGCTTCCTTGCCCAGGTGGCAGGGGCAAACAGGGAAATCCGGAGCCTACTCACCACTCCATTGCATCAGGAGCTCCTATAGGGCGGGGCTTATTTTCCCTTCCCTGGAGCCTGGCCCACTTGAGGCTCAGTTAAGGTGGGCGCTCAAATGGCACAATGGGTGGAGGATTAAGATGCTCCAGACTCCCTGGCTTCCCAGCTCTGCTACCCTCATCCCCCAGGAGGTGCTCCACCCCTCCGCCTGGGGCACTCTATTGGCCCACTGGGCCTCAGAGCAGCCCTGCGAGGTGGCCACCCTTACTTCCTTATTGCAGATAAGGAGGGAACTTAGTAATGACAGCTGCTCCGCCTGGGGCACTCTATTGGCCCACTGGGCCTCAGCAGCCCTGCGAGGTGGCCACCCTTACTTCCTTATTACAGATGAGGAGGGAACTTGGTAAGAAGCTATGTCTACAGGCTCCAAAGCTTAGGCTATTTGCTTTGTCCTGTGCCCAGCTCATTTCTTTCCTGTGGTTTTCTCAGCCCCAGGCACAAGCAGGGCCTTTCACAACGGAGTCCAACAGCCAGATTCTCTGGTGCCAATATGGCAGTTCTGAGAAAGGAAAGCCAAGTGGCATCCCTTCTCTGGGCATCTGAGACATGAGGACATGAGTCTCACCTCAAAGACAAGCACACAAAGACCCAGCTGCCATTTTGAATGTTGCCTTGGGTTTGCCACAAGTCAGGTCCTTCAGGGGCATGGTATGGGGTTAAAGGTCACCTCTGCTAAAGACCCTACTAAAAAGAGTGAGTAAAACTCAGGCCTAGAAAGAATTAATTATATTTTGCAGTCCCCAGCAAATAACCAGTTTCAGTGTCCAAAAGCAATGTATCTTATTATCAGTTTCAGTCTCAGGGGCAGTCAAAACTGAAGTAAAACTCCATGTAGTTAGAACAATCGGTTCCTCTTCTGCTGATTCCCAGGGTCACCCAGGGCCAACCACTGTCCCACCGGGGGCTCAATTTCCTCCTTTGTGATAAGGGGGACCGTTATCCTTGGCTTGTCAGGGTCGGCCCAAGAGCCAGAATGAGAGCAGGGATACATGAGGCGTTGTGAACTCTGAAGAGTGACTTCCCTGGGGCGGCGGCGGCAGTTATTTCTGTTAATGTCTTGCTGACTCCCCACCTCCACCCCAGGCCCAGGGCTAGGAGGCAGCAGGAGACCCCCTTAGACTGGACTCTCACCCGGCTCTGTAAGGTCTCACGCAGAGGCCTCCAAGATCAAGCTTCTCTAAAGGCGTCCCATTCTTCAAAGCTGCCAGTAGCTTTCATGGTCCGGTCCTGTTGGTTTCCCATAGAAAATGGCCGGGAGACGAAACACCTAAAGGTCATACTATGTGTCCTGTGAATAAGGGCAAAGAAGGGGGAACTTAGAAGGAAATTCACCTAAAAGGACCCCACCCTAGGAAGGAAAAGGCACCTATCCCAGACACAAAGCCCACTCAATCCGTGCCCGGGGAGGGGGGCAGGGGCCATTTCCCCAGGGACCAATTCAGTGCACGCAATGGAGGGAGGAACTGACCCCGGGAATCCTCCCTCCCTGTCTGCTGAGCACCACACTTCGGCTCTCTCCCGGGCTTCTGTTTTGGTGGCCCGCGGTCTCCGGAAAGCATCCCCCAACCGTCAGCAGACTGGTGAGCAGGAGTGTGTGTGTGTTGGGGGAGGGGGGGAGCAGGGGGTGTCATGATGGGTCAAGAGAGACTCGATGAGTCCACCAGGGCCCAGAGCAGGGCTGCCAGGAGGTTAGAGGAGCTGGGATCAGGCCCAGCAGCGGCCGGTCCAAGCAGCTCAAAGCCCCTCCAAGCGGAAGTAGCTCCGACAAAGGCCTGGAGCCCCCGGGAAAGGGAGAGGTTCTCCTGGTCATCGCGGATGCGCCAGAAAGTCCCCACCCAAGGCAGGGCTGGCATTCTGGCCGAGGGAAGGGAGTGGGGGGGTGAAGTTTAAACCTGAGCGCGGGAGGTAAAGAACAAAAGCGAGATAGGAAAAGGGTGAAAGAAGAGAGATAAAGAAAGGACGGACCGAGAGGAAAAATACAAAATAGGTTGGGAGCAGAGAAGGGGAAATTACTAGTAAGGAGAGGGAGGCGCGGTAGCAGGCGCAGAGCATGTGCAGCAGGAGCAGCCTGGGCGGGCCGGGGCCGGGCTCACCGGGCCGCAGGGAGAACACGAGACGAACGTGCGGG